GAAGCTTGAGGCGCAGTTCAGCAACGGGAAGGAGGTGGTATTTTACCCTTCGCTATTTCCAGCTTAGGCGAGCAGCGCGCGAGTAAGTTTTCTTAGGATTGTATTCATAGTAGTAGTCCAGTCAAATTAGAGCGACAGGGCCTTCCAAGCAAGGCACGCCATCGTTGTGATGATCACAACAGGTGGGTCGTATTTGACCGCGAGGGAGGGGGGTCGTTGTTGGGAGAGAAACTGCGAGATTTATACGACTACTGTTTCCGATAGTTGAAAATGATAGTCAAATACTGACGACCTCTCCACCCAGCCCTCTCCCCCCTCCCGCTCGACGGAAAATTCTGGCTGAAAAGCTGGAATTTTTTTTTCGGAAAATGCAAGGAGTGATAGAAACTTTTGAGATCTAGGAAAGTGGTAGGTAGCTTGGGGAGGGGGTCGTATTTTTCAGGAAATGATCACAACGCGATGGCGTGTCCTGCTACCGAGTCTAGTCGTAAGACCGTCGCGAGCTTGTTGCATGCTTTCCAATCGGGAGAAGGACGTTATATCCATGTCGCAAATCTTTGTACCTCACATGTGAAACACTACTCATGTGGCAAACCGCGAAATGTGCTTTTAAAGAGAGCCCCGCGCTCGAGCAACTCGTAGGCGTTCTTTCTTGTACAAGCAGTCTGGTTCTCAATCTCTTTCGCAGTAATGAAGACGCTGCAGCACTCGTAAGTGGTAGTTCTGACACCTGCTCAGTTGCCTAACCAGATCTCGAAGGCTGTTTTCTGTTGCGAATTCAGTTTTTACATTATGTTTTTGTTTTCATTTTCTTAATAAGATAGTATTAGCGTTGCATGACGCGAGGATACTATTGGCTTGGTCTATAAGTAATGGTGTTCTTCTCACACAGATTTTCATATGTAAAATGACAATTCTTTCCAATGGATTCTAAACTGTTTGATAGATAAATTTCTGCTGTGTAAGACAGTGAGATTACCTTCTTACTGATTTTTAATTTCCGTGGATTTTCTTCATTGAAATGGAAAGTCGGGTCGACAGGAAAGTTAGTTTCTGACAACATCTTTGTTGCACTTTATTTCGGCTTTCAAGTAACGGACGAAGTCCAAAACTTGTGGTATATATGGACAAGGAAAGATGCTTCTTGACAGCTTGAAGTTGGGTCAAGCGATTAAGTGATGAGAATTCGGACCTTGTAAATGTGCAATTGGGGTCCTCTTCGGGAGCGGCTGCCTGCAGAGCCCACTCATTGACTTTCGAATGTCTAATATCAACTGAGTGTGATGCTCGATAATAAAAAGGAAGCGTTCCATGACTTCTCACAATTCCTCAATCTCTGTTAGGAATCTCCGTAAATAAGTTAATTCAGTAAGCTCTTAGATGGACTCAATAGGGCATTAGGTTCGATGCTTGTCTGCAAGCTCGGAATGGAATTCTTCGAACAACTCAAACCCTCGTAAGTATTCCTAAGATATATAGCCTCTTGTCCATATACTTAGCGAATGAGCCTGGACATTTTGAGCTTTTCAATTATAAGCAGAAAATAGAAGCTGTCGATAATGCTCAATTTCGTCGACCTGGCACTCCATTTTCAACTGTTGAATATTAGTGGAAAGAGAAACTTAGAAAAACCATAGGACCTCGGCAAGGAATTCTTCACAAAATGGTACAGAACTCGATGGCAAAACTTTTCATCATTAGCACGATATTCGGGGTGAGAAAAAAAACGCCAGTATTATGGGCCGACCCAATATTATAATGAGCTAGAGGCGGCAGGACATCGCTTTGCTATTATAAAACGAGCAGATTCGGGGAACTCGTGCGGGGAGGTTCAAGTCCTTACTGCGGCAATTTATAGATTTGCTGGCAAAACCTGCAGGTTCGGACAACTCGTGCGGTGAAGATGCCCGAGGGTCCTTACGGTTTTTCCTTTGCTATCCCCTGGAGAGTACTTAGCGATTGTAGATTCGTTATTAAAAGTCACTACTCACAATACGCAATCGCGGGGTTTATCCATAATCTCTCTTCTCATTTCAGGCGTTCGAGACTTGTGGCTCACCTTCACCTTTCGTAGGACGATTTCTATAACGATGAACACTCTCACTGTAATAAATTTCACTCACCTTTTCTTTGATAATATATTAGCTCCAGCATATTGAAAACGTTTATCTCTCCGTTCTACAGCGCTTGAAACGTGTCTTATAGATTCCGACTAACATAATCATAGGCAACTTGGTAACAGGTACGCTCGTCATGGTTCGTGGGGTTAGGGGATAAATTTTCTCTTGAGAACAGCCAATTCCCCTTTTTTAATCTGCCGTCTTCCAATTCGATAACTTCTTGCTAACATTGCTGTCCTCATATAGAAGGAGAGATCGTGCGATTCAGCCCATTTAGTCACGTCTGATGCAAACGAACACTTCACTAAGCTATTCCTTGTCCGTCACAATATTCACGGTAGGGCTCATCA